TTGGAATGCTTATTTCTTTATTGCCATGACTGTAGATGGAAAGTTCAGCAAAAGCTTCACTGTCTATTTCTGTTTTGACTGTTACTGTATGGGATTTTATTGTATCACCACTGTTGAGAATAACCTTGGTGTACAGAGGGAGATACTAAAAATTACCTTTCATTTCATGTGAAATTTAGAGTGATAGTTAATTTTTGATGTCCACTTGACTGGGCTATGGGGTGCCCAGCATTGGGTCAGATAACCTTCTGCATGGTTCATGACGATGGTTCTAGATGAGATCAATGTGAAAATGGGTAGACTGAGGAAAGCAGACAGCTTTCCCCAGTGTGGACAACCTCACCCAACCCATGAAGGAACTGAACTGAAGGCAAAACCTAAGTGCTCTGGTTTGAGTGTGCCCCCTCAAGATCCTAAGAGCTGAAATATAACAGCCATGGGACAGTATCAGGAGGTGGGTCCTTGAAGAGATGACAGGCTATGAGTGATCCTGTCTGGGCAATAGGATGAAGGCCCTCTTTAAAGAAGCTCCTAGTAGTCTCTGTCCCTGGTCCTTCTGGGTCCTGCCACCTGAGAAGCCAGGGGTCCTCCCTCCAGGTAATGAAGCTCTTATTACCAGATACCAAACCTAAATCTGGCATCGAAATCTTGAACTTACCAGCATCTAGACTGGGGGGAGGAGGAATTCTGCTGTCTTTCAATTGTCCAATCCTCAGTATCTTGTTGTAGCAGTACAAATTGGACCACAACACTGGGTGACCTAGTCACCAGCCTGATTTCATGAGATGAGACACTGGCTCTCTCCTGTCCTCAGAGTGGAGGCTGTGCCATTGGCTCTCCAGGGTCTCCAGCATGCCAGCTGCAGGACTTGAGACTTCTCAGCACAAGAGTCACTTACTTACACACACACACACACACACACACACACACACACACACACACACACACACACACACACACACACACACACACACACACACACACACCATTGGTTCTTGGCTCTGTTTCTCTGAGACTCTTGACTGATACACCTAAGTATGGCTTGTCATGCCAATTCCTTCCTTCCTTCCTTCCTTCCTTCCTTCCTTCCTTCCTTCCTTCCTTGTGTGTGTGTGTGTGTGTGTGTGTGTGTGTGTGCATGTGCCAGTGCTAGGGCTTGAACTCAAAACCTCACACCTGCTAGACAAGTACTCTGTCACTAAGCCACAGCTCCAACCCCATCTCACATGGCTTTTTCACCCACAGCTTTTGCTCTACTACATGAGCCATACCTCCAGTCTGACTTTTTATTGGGTAATTGGAGATAAGAGTCTCACTAACTTTCCTGGCTGGGCTGGCTTCAACTACGATCATCTGGCAAAAATTGCTTTCTTACATACTTCAGGAAGCAATAAAATTTGAAATTTTTTAAATTGTTGGCAAACAGGGAGCTGGTGGCTCATGCCTATAATCCTAGCAACTGGGGAGGCTGAGATCTAAGGATTATAGTCTGAAGCCAGCAGGGCAGGAAAGTCCATGAGACTCTTATCTCCAATTAACCACCCCCAAAGAGGCAGAAGTAGAGCTGTGGATCAAGTGCTAGCCTTGAACACAAATGCTCAGGGACAGTGTCCAGGCCCTGAGTTCAAGCTCCAGAGCATACAGGTACACATGTATACACACACATTCACACACACACACATTCACACACACATACACACACACACACACACACACACACACACACACACACGCAAAAGTCCTGAATATTCACTTCACCAAAGAAGATCTACAGATGTCAATTAAGTCCACAAAAAGATGCTCAACACCATGTCATTAGGGAATTTAAATGCAAATAAAGTATCACTGTTCACTTAACAGAATGGTCAGAATTCAAAACATTGTCATCACCAAATTCAGGCGAGGAAAGGGTACAAGAACACTCTCTCCCTCCCCCTCTCTCTCTTCCTCTCTCCCCCTTTTTCTCCCTCCCCCCTACACACACACATTGCTGATGGGCATGGAAAATGATACAACCTCTTTGACAGTTTCTCACACAACTAAACATATTCTTACCATCTGCTTCTTGCTCTTTATCCAGATAAGAACAGTTAGGTCCATATTAAAAAAAAAAAACAAACAAACAAAACCTGACCAACCACAGATGTTTACCACAGCTTAATTCTGGGATGAGGGATCACTACAACTCAACACTCTCTGACTGCATGGACAGAAGGCCCTGGTTTGCCGAGAGAGTTGACATCCCATCCTTGATGAGTATCAGAACACAGCTAGAGCTCTCATTTTAGAGACTGTGGACTGAAAAATAAAACGAGGTTGGATCCCTACCTCACACCATATACAAACGATTACCTCAAAAGGGATCAATGACCTAAATATAAGGGCCAAAACTACAAACTTCTAGAAGAATACATACAAGCAAATCACCAAGACCTTGGATTCAACAACAAATTCTTAGGGCACCAAAAAAACATAAACAAGACCAATAAAATGGATAAATTGGAGGTGAGGATTGGGCTCTGCTGTATCAGCTGGACCTCCATTACCGATCCCCTCTTGTCACGGCCTTCTGCTCAGAGCTCAAGGCACTGTGAGACAGAAATGACTTCTCTCACCCTTCCCTCTACAGAGGCTATCTGGTGAGATAGAAATGCAGAGCATGTGCTTTCATGCACTGGTGCGCCCTCTCTCGCACGCTCTCGCGCTCTTTCCCTTCCTTCCTTTCAGGCATGCGCCACCACACCTAGCTTCACATGTCTCTTTCTGCCTCAGCTCTTCTGCTCATACAAGGCTAAGTGAAGAATTCCAGACGAGTTACACCATGAGCAATGTGGGGGACACTAAGTAATCCAGGGATGCCAATGTGGACACAGAGGTGTCGCTTGAGGTGCAGAGGAGTGCCAGAGTGCACCTGGGCTGGGACTCGCTACTCATTGCTTCTTTGACATGAAGCCCAGAGCCATATCCACCATCTCTGATTGCCAGGTGCTGGTCCCCCTACTCAACTTAACAGGCCCACCTCTGGGTGTGGATTGGATCTGCTGAATAGGCCCAGCAAAGGTGGTGGAGATAAACTGTCAGCCAGGAAAGACTGCTCAGACTGAGATGGCCCTGAGCCCCACAGGATGTCAGAACAGGGAGCTGACACAAGCCAGGCCCCTCTGTCAGCCATTTTTAGACCATGCACAGGAAGAGATATGTGTCTCCAGGGCAACCTTGCTGTTTCATTACAAACACCTACTTTTCATGTCTGCAGAGCCTAGCCTCTTCAGGAAGGTCATTCTAGGAGGTCACACTCCTCCAAAGAGGCTGCCATGATTCAAAGCAGCCACTCACACTCCCAGTCATCTGACAATAGTGTCACAATCACAGGGTGGCAGAGACAACTGAGTTGGGACCACACAGGGAGTATGTGTCACACTAGGCCCAGTGAGACGGAAGCAATTTGTTCATCTTGTAGACGACAAAACTACTGGAGTGTGCCGGGCGCTGGTGGCTCACATCTGTAATCCTAGCTACTCAGGAGGCTGAGATCTGAGGATCATGGTTTGAAGCCAGTCTGGGCAGGAAAGTCTATGAGGCTCCTGTGTCCAATTAACCACCAGACAACTGGAAGTGGTGCTGGGTCTCAAAGTGGCAGAGTGCCGGTCTTGAGCAGAATAGCTCAGGGATAATGTCCAGGCTTTGAGTTCAAGCCCCATGACCAGACAAAAGGAAAAAAAAAAACCTCTGCTAGAATGAAATTGCTCACCCTGAGAAAAATGGCTGCTCCAGGGCAGAGCTGGGGTTCCAGTACCCCCAGAGCTAACATTTATGTGTTTCCAAGAGGACAAGAAGGAACGGCTGTCAGGCTGCAGGGTCCCTCCTGTAGGTGGCTGAGAACAGCACCCACAGCTGCTTTCTGCTTTCCTGGTGTCCTTAGAAACTTTCCAGGAACACAGCAGTGGGGAGGCCGGGCGGCTGCGCTCTCCCCTTCTGCTTTAGTCTGTCCCTACTCAGGAGGCCAGGTGGGAGCCAGGCTCTGTGAAAAGGCATCCACTTCCTATGGGGACCAGCCACTGCTGCTAGGTTTCTAAGTTCCTGCCGGACAGCTGGCAGAGAAAGGGGCCACGCGACGTGGGCGCTGCCGATGTCTGGCAGCCACGCCAGCCACTGCCCACTGCAGTCTCAGCCCAGTGTTGCTTTGAACTGCAGCCAAAAATAACCTCAGACTACCAGAGCTTCTTTCCAAAAGGGACAGGCTGAAGAACTGGTGACTAAAAACATGGCCAGAGGCACACAAATGGGAAATGCCACGGGGGCATTGCTGGCAACTCCACAGGATGCATGTTGCCATTCACTCTGACAGCGGCCCTGGGTGAAGGGCATGGGGGGGGGTTGGAGGAGGAGTGCTAGGAACCATGTGAGGAATTCTAGAATCATCTGTATCTCTTTTCCAAGACACCCCCCCCCCACACACACACACACTTATTTTCTTTTCATTTTGACACTCAGTTTCACTATGTAGCTCAGACCAACCTTACACTCATGATCCTCCTGCGTTGGCCTTCTGGAACATTCCTATTTTTTGAGATGACAAAACCAAGTCCCAAAAGGATTTTTATGAAAAACCCAATAGGGGAAGGCACAGGATAAAGAAGAAACAAACCATTTTTCTTAGGAAATACTTTCAGATAGACAGTGTAACTGATCTATCGAGTTTAGCCTTCAGCTTTTTTTTCCAAGATATTTTTGAACAATTATTACCAAAAGACACAAGAACTGTAGGGGGTGGTTCGGGCTTCAAATCCCAGTTATATTACTCTTGACCTTTTCTGAGGCCCAGACTTTTCTTCTATAAAACAGAGGTGAGCGGAGAGCTATGCTCAGAGGGCAGTTTACAGGACCTCATGGGATAAACCTGAAGGGTCTCTCCCTCAGAAGGTAGGGCTCAGAGGGCCTGGACAGGAGAGAACTTGGATCCTCTACACTAAGACGCCCCTCTATGCTGCTAACCATACCTTTCAGCTGGCCTCTGTCCTTTTTGGTTCACGGTGCTGCGGGTCCTCTGAGGTCTTGAGCTAGTGGCTTCAGGACAAACTCTAGAAATAGAAAAGAGATGGCAAAGGTTTGTGGGGATGTGGCTTCTGAGGCCACATCTGCTTGGATGTGGTCCCTACCCCTGAGTTTCCCCTCTCCCATCTGACAGTGTCCCCAGGGCCTGTGGACTGGGGGCATTTTCCCAGCCCACAGTCAGCCCAGTGTCCACGCAATTACACCGACCACTGAAAATGGGAACCTGCGCAGTGCAGGATTTTGCTTCAAGCTAAAATATTAGCAACTTAGTGCAGAACTTAGGTTTCCTCAGGCTGGAAAAAAAAAAAAAAAAGGCTTTCGGAGCAATTGTGAAAACAGGAAAGAGAATTAATCATCACCTAGTGAATACAAGCTCTTTGAGCAGACCAGTAATTCTCAGACTTGTGCAGGAAAAGATAAGTAATAGAAGAGGACTTAGGTGGGAGAAGCAGCTCAGCCCCAGGCTGTGGCTACAAGTCCAGGCCCTCTGGCCCATCTCCTCTGTCAGGCCACAGGAGAGAAGGGTCAAGTTCACTGTGTCCAGACACCATACCTACCAGCCAACACCTAGGCTAGTCTCAGGTTCTGGATTGTCACAGCACAGATAAATGATTTTGTACCTCTCTCTGTGCACATACTACGTGCAAGGACCCTGTTGGGCACATACAGAAAACAGTTGTTGAGCAAATGCAGGAACCAATGATGAGAAAGTAGATGAATTAGAAAGAGATGTGCAAAAACAAATGCAAACCAGGTGCCAGAGGTTCACGCCTATAATCCTAGCTACTCAGGAGGCTGAGATCTGAGGGTGTGAGTTCAAAGCCATCTTCAGCAGGAAAGTCTGTGAGACTCTTTTCTCCAGTGAACCACCAAAAAGCTGGAAGTGGAGGTATAGCTCAAGTGGTAGAGGATCAGCCTTGATAGAGAAAGCTAAGGGAGAGGGCAAATCCCTGAGTTCAAGTCCTACAACTGGGGGGAAAACAAGCAAGCCACCATTTGAAGCTGCTGTCTGATGTGGCAGGTGACTAAGAGACAGGCATCTCTTTGCAGTGATTGGGTAGGAAATGAGGAAGGGAAGAAGGAGAGAGGAAGGGGAAAACAGACTTGGGACCCCAGGGGTAGAGGAAAGAACCAACATGAATAATCCATGCAGATCTGTGTTTCTAGTCATATCTATGTACACATGTGGTACACGTGCAGCAAGGAACCCAGCATCCCATTAGACATACCAGTCTGTGCCATCACATCTCCTCTGAGCATGAGCACCCCTTCAGCTTCCTGAGCCTTTTTGACAGCCGCATAGTATCTCAGGGTAACACATCCCTTCCCTTCCCTCCCCCTCCCCCTGCCAAAATTGTAAAGTTCATTCTCAACATAGTGTCATCTCTTTGTTACAATGGGTCAACCTGTATCCCTATTTAAGCATTTTGTTTTTTCCCTTCCCCTTCCCCAATTAGAAAAGTGTATATACAAGATACAGGGCACTGGAATCAAATACAGTGAAAACAGGGGTTATACCTTCGGGGAGGAACGTACCAAAGAAACAAAAAAATAAAAATCACATAGTACATTATAAGTACGTTAAAAACAATAGCAAGAAAGAAAAAAAACACTTGTGTCCCTGTCTTGGGGTTCATTTCGCTTAACATCATCTTATTATGGTCAATATACATAGTTTTTGACCTTTTCTAGGACCTTTTCTGCTTGACCTAGACATATACTAGTTATTGCAAATAAGGGAAACCATGGGACCTATGTTTATTTCCCTACCAGGGCTAGTGGGACTATAGCAGCTTTGTGGCCATGAGCTCCAGACCACACTGGCACAGTCTCTGATGAAAAATGACTCAAACTGAAAATACCCACCGTCCCCCTGACAGACATACTTTAGAACTGTCCTTGCTGCTGACCCTGCTGTATCATCTCCCCTCCCCTTACCCCTGAAGACATGCACCAGAAGTCTTGGAAGAGAGCCTGAGACCAATGCTACATCTAATGCTGACGCCCCGATGAACATAGAGGCCACTGAGACCTTGAAACTCCTCAGTCAAAATAACATTGCTTACCCACCCTGCCTCCACCTCACCCCACTTCCATCTGCTCCCCCCAGACTTTACTCTTCCTGCCTAATATTTAAAGAATCTTAGTTGTAAGGGGCGGGGGTGAAGGAGACTTGGGCGCCCTTCCCAGGCTTCACTCTTGAATAAAGGGCTTTCTGCCCTTTCTTGATTCTGATACCCTCAAGACTCAAGTTTCCTTGCAGTCTCTATTTGAATGCATGCACAATAAAGTACAGGGCAGACAAAAGCCTTTTGTCTTTATTGTAAATTTGAACCCAGGGTTCTGACTACAGAAAGGCTTTTCTGATCACCTCCTAGTGGCCTACAACACCCAAACCCCAGACAAAGGGGTGGGGGGCAGGGGAGGAATATGTTATTTGGCTGACACAGAGCAAGGCCCATTGAAGTCTACTGTCCACCGCCCAGGGCACCTCTGAGGAACTCGGGTCTCCCTGAGCCACGCACTGCATTTACTGATAATGAGCTTTTATGAGCTCCAGGGACCACATGGAACATGTATTCATGTCAAGCACGTCTGTCAGCAGTGCAGCCTGGGTGAATGTCACACATTAACAAAATTAAAGGGCTCAGCCATGCTGGGAAGGAGCAGTGGGCTTCAAGGCAGGTATGGACAAGGACCGGTCACCAACAAAATGACTTTCCAGGTCTGGTGCTCCTGGGCCTTAAGCTATCTCTGTGAGTGAGTGCTGGAAAGGAGATTAGCTTATTACCAAGTCTGCCAGAGAGGCAAACTCCAGCACTAATCCCAATTCCCATGTAAGCCAATGTGCATGAAGAGAGGGAAATCTGTGCTGCAAATGTCTTCCTCTTCCTGGGACCCCCACCCCAGCTCCTCTGAGGCACAGAAGAATCCCAGGATACAGTGCAGGAAGATGGTGGCCAGGCCATGGAAGGTGGTCATCTTTGGCTTTGGGAAGGAAAGACAAGAGCCAGACTGTCACAGCTTCCTACCTCAGTGCCTACCCCTGACCCCCAACCCTTCTGAAGGATTGGGAGTGGTATGGGCTGAAACTGCTTAATCCAGCTTTTATGGCTCCACAAGCCAACTTAAGCAAGCAAACCTACTAGTAACGCAGCGGCTGATGGGAAATTCACTGAGAAACATGCACACTGAGAAACAGAGGTAGCAGAGGCCTGGCACTCAGGAAGGGAACTCTTAAATATGAGTCTCTGTAGATTACAATCGCTATAATTTTTAGTATACCTAATGCTGCCAATTAAGTTAATTAATGATGACACAAGTCTGTAGATACTGCAAGACAGGTTTCTAAGATATTAAAATGTAAATAAATAAAATGGTCCCTTAAAAATCCACAGGATACACTAAGCATTTAATAAATGGGTGGTGAAGCTAGTGGTTGTGGCTCATGTCTGTAATCCCAACTACTTGGGAGGCAGATGGCGGAGCACATGGAGATCAAAGTCCAAGCCCAGCCTATACAAAAAGACAAGACCATGTCTAAAGACAAACTAAAAGCAAAAAACAGGGTAAGGTATGATTCAAGTAGTAGAGTACCTACCTAGCAAATGTGAACCCTTAAGTTCAATCCCAGTACCACTGAGTGAATAAATGAATGATTATAGATATGAAGAACTGGCCAAGTTTGCCCATTGTATAAGGTCTGGCCCAAAAGTTCAATCCTTCTCTTTCTCTTGTTTCTTCTAAACTGAAGACTGGGTTCAATTTAAAAGAAAAATGCTAATAGTCACTGAATGTCCTGGCTGAAGCCTAGATGAGACACTTCAATGTTGACTCCAAAGTCTCCAACTCCATTTTTAACTTTTTACTTAAAATACAGCTAGGTACCAGTGGCTCGTATCTGCAATCCCAGCTACTCATGAGGCAGAGATCTGAACACTGCAATTGGAAGCCAGCCCAGGCAGGAAAATCTGTGTGACTCATATCTCCAATTAACCACCAAAAAAGCTGAAAGAACTGTGGCTCAAGTGGTAGAGCACTCGCCTTGAGCAAAAAAAGCTCAGAGACGGTGCCTAGGCCCTGAGTTCAAGCCCCAGGATACATACATACACACACACACAAAACAGCACACATACAGAATAGTGTACACATATATCATAGGCATACATGGGAAACCAACACCCACGTCTAAAACCCTTCTGTATTTTCCCAGCTACTATTTCTCTTCCAGGCTATTCTCCCAAGTCCTTCCTGGCTATAGCATACTTCCTGCCCAGCCTACCTGGCATCAGCTCCATTACTATTTGTCTGCTTTGCACAGAGATCCCCAATACTCTGCCAGCCTGCTGCCTCTGTACCCTCCAACTTGTCCTCCCCACTCTAAGCACTGTGTCTTCTCTTCCACTGTGTTCCTTGGCATTGATGAATGGATGAATGGCTGGATGAATGAATGGGTGATGCTGAATGATAGATGGATGATGGGTGGATGGATGAATGGATTGATGAATGATGATGGATGATGGATAGATAATTATGGATGATGGGTGGATAGATGAATGGATGGATGAAATATGGATGGATGATTAATGGATGGATGAGATATAAATGGGTGGTATATGGGTGGGTGATTAATGAATAGAACAGGTAAATGGGTGAGTGATGCATGGGAATAGATGGATGGGTTTTGATGGATGGATGGATGGATGGACAGATGGGGGACAAATGGAGTTAAAAAGAATGGTGGGAAGGCAGAACTAGCCAATAGAAAATCTATGCTAAACATGTTAGGGATTTTATTACTCAAGACACTGAGAACTGGAGGATCACAATGCAAAGCTAGCCAGAGCAGAAAAGTCTGCAAGACTCCATTCTCCAATTAACCAGCAAACTGTCAGACTGAAGGCATGGCTCAAGTAGTAGAACAGCAGGCATGAGTGAGCAGGCTGAGGGAGAGCACAAGGCTCTGATTTCCAGAAACCAAAGAAAAAATTGTCAATTATATACCCAATAATGGATTTATATCCAG